TTTCTTTCTTTCTTTCTTTCTTTCTTTCTTTCTTTCTTTCTTTCTTTCTTTCTTTCTCTTTCTTTCTTTCTTTCTTTTCTTTCTTAGATTTTATTTATTTATTTTAGAGAGAGAGAGAGAGAGAGAGAGAGAGAGAGCATGAGCAGGGGGAGGAGCCGAGGGGGAGGGAGATGGAGGGGGAAAAATCTCAAGCAGACTCCATGCTGAGCATGGAGCCCCATGCAGGGCTCAGTCTCACCACCCTGAGCTCATGACCTGAGCTGAAACCAAGAGTCAGACACTTAACCAACTGAGCCACCCAGGCGTCCCTCCGATAAGTACTTCTTATTACTATTATTATCATTATTATTGTTACTATTACTGTTATTATTAGCCAACATTGATGTGTGCCAGGCCCTGTGCTTTACATGCATTATCTATCTTACTCACCGTGAGGAAAGTACTATTCTTTGACAGATGAGAGAACTGAAGTCCAGAGAGGTTAACCAGTTTTGCCCAAACTCACACAGTTCCTAAATGGTAGAGCCGGATGTCTAATCCCAGCCGTTGCACTTCCTGATGCTTCTGCTGTTTGTGTCCCGGGTTACCGAGCACCCACCGCATGCCAGCACTGCCAACGATCCAGAGACCTGTCCCACCAAGGAGACGTGATGTGCACCCAAATACATTGTCTAGAGAGAACATTGCTGGGCAGGGTTTATATAGATGTAATGTGGGGGACGGGGAGGGTATCGTAGAAGGGAGGGCTAGGGGCTTGTGGGCTAGGTGGGACTGGCAGCCAAAGAACATGAAGAGAAGAGGGAAGGGGCATTTGGGGTGCAAGAAAGCACAGGGCAAGGGCCCTGAGATGCCAGCCCAGGGGCCGGGCTGAGGAGCAAGAGTGGCAGAGGCTGGTCATGGCTCTGAGCAGGTCAAGCCCGGATGGAGCCACGAGAGTGTCACTGCAAGCTGGGGGAGAGAGCACGATTAGAACCCAGGGTACTGCTCACCAGAACCCCCTGGCCACGGTGCTGGAGGTCAGGGTTCAGTCTCCTGGTATAGAGCTGCCAGTGCAGAAGATTCTGGGTTCTGTGGCAAACACCATTTGGTCCTTCATTCCCTGCCCAGGCACTGTGCTAGGTGCTGGAGATGTGGCAGGGGCCTTCTGTGCCTTCTGCCCAATGGGGGTCACAGTCGCTGGGAATAATCCCACCCAGGGCCAGAGTCCTGGGCAGACCTGGACACCAAGCCCGGGGTCCTGCCCATCTCCCTGAGTTCCCAGAGACCCAACAGCCCACACGGCTCCAGAGAGGTGCGGCCCAGCCACCCCTGAGCGTAGGGCCCTCTCACCCCTAGTTTGCGGACCTGAACGACGCAGCCGCCCGCAACGCCGAGCTGCTCCGCCAGGCCAAGCACGAGGCCAACGACTACCGGCGCCAGCTGCAGGCCTTGACCTGCGACCTGGAGTCCTTGCGCGGCACGGTGAGCGCGGGCGGGGCCGCAGCGGGGCGGAAGCGGGTGCGCGCGAGCTGGAGCCCCCGGGGGACACGCCAGCCGGGGACGGGGACCGGCACTGCGGGCGGGGGCTCTGAAAAGTTACTTGGAGGCCGGGGACAGGCCGGGGGGGGCGGGCAGTGTGACCCCTCCCCGAGGCACCTGCCGGCTCCACCCTACAGAACGAGTCCCTGGAGAGGCAGATGCGGGAGCAGGAGGAGCGGCACGCGCGGGAGGCGGCGAGTTACCAGGAGGCGCTGGCTCGGCTGGAGGAGGAGGGGCAGAGCCTCAAAGACGAGATGGCCCGCCACCTGCAGGAGTACCAGGACCTGCTAAACGTCAAGCTGGCCCTGGACATCGAGATCGCCACCTACAGGAAGCTGCTGGAGGGCGAGGAGAACCGGTGAGCTGCCACCGCGGCCCTGGGGAGTCCTCCCTGCTGCCCCTCCCTGGAGTCTCCTTGCTCCCTTCAGGGACTGTCATATTCAGCTTGTGTCCTGCCCTCTCCTATCCCAGTGCTCAGCACAGTGCTCGCCCAACACCCAGTAGGTGTTCAATAAACATTTGGTGAATAAATGAATGGATTCGATTCAAGCAATGTTGATGAGGTCGCAGAGCGAGGACTTAGGTCACCCCCCAAACTAAGAGGCTCACTCCCCACCCTCCCAATGAAGATTGGACTTCTTTTCCCCTGACCCGTCTCTTTGGTCTTGGAACTTTCTTCACCACTTCCTCCTCCCCTCTGCCTTCCTCCAGTCCTCCACGCTTTCAAATAGAGATGCTCCCCTGGCGGACAACACCCAAGCCCCTTGCAGACTCTTGGAGCCCCAGGGAGCGTGTTGGCTGCTGGAGAAAGCCAAGAGATGGGCCTTGAGGCTGTCAGGATAACCCCCTGGACCAGGGCCTGGCCCCGGGGATGTCCCTGGGCTGCCCGGTCACTCTTCTGCCTTTGCTGTCTTTCAGCATCACCATTCCCGTGCAGACCTTCTCCAACCTGCAGATCCGAGGTCAGTAGAGCAGGGCTTTGTGGGCAGGGTGCTGGATTCCTGCCCTCTCCCCCAGGTGGGCTGCTACTCTGGCCTGGGGCCGAGGACCAGGGCAAAGGGGTCCGGTCCAGGGATCGCCTTGGGGACCATAATTCACTGCAGAGCTTCCAGCCAGAACACAGCAGCCCAGGGCATTCCAGGTGGGGCTTGCGGCTGCTCCTGCCCTGCTCTGCCCTGTGCCCCCTTCCCTAACCTTGCACCCCCTCCTATAGCAGAACTGGGTGAAGATCTCAACCTCTGCCCTGTCCACAGAGCCCTGATCAAGCTCAGCCCATCTGAGTGTTTTATGTTTTTGTTTTTTTTTTTAACTGCTTGTCACTACAGGGGGCAAACGCACCAAAGAAGGGGAAAGTCACAAGGTCACAAGACATCTCAAAAGCCTCACAATACAAGTTATACCAATACAGGCTCACCAGATTGTAAATGGAGCCCCGCCGGCTCTCGGTTAGCAGCCTGCCTCTCAGACTCTCAGACACAGTGCTTTTCTCAGCTTGGCAGAGAGTGAGCCTCACCAAGCCTGTTTTCCCTGCCCTCCTGGGCTCCTTCCTCCCAGGTTTCCCTAAAGGGCCAAGCTTGTGTCATTTTCCCAGCGACCTCAGTGCCCAGCCCAGGACCTGGCACAGGGTAAATGTAGGTTAAACTAGCAGAGCTGGTTGGTATTCAAAGTGATGTGTCCTCTGGTGCTCAGATGAGAGGCTATGGGGCCCCTGGGCGAATGCCAGCCTCCACCTCACCTCCTCCCCATCACTGGGAGGGCCCCTCGGGGCTTGCCGTGCCTGGTGGCCAGGTTCTCTGCTCAATTCGTCTGTCCCCGAGGCTCCACGGCTCAGCTCAGTGCTGATTCAGCCCAGAGGATTATTTCCCCCTGGACTGCAGCTCTTGTAGTGAATAAAGTTTTATGCTCCCTGCTCTTAATTTTAAATATTAGTGAGTGTGACATGTTACATTTCTCTCTCGGGGGGGGGGGAACTAAATTACTTCTGACTTGGATGTGGCCCTCAAATGCTTCTTATCTAAGGGGGGGGGAAACAAAACCTTCTTCTGCTCTAGAAATTTAGGAACATGAGCTATACATGTCCTGGGGCTTAGTTCAGCATCAGAAGTTTAACCAGGCAGAGCAGGTTGAGGTAATACTGCCAAGTGCCAAACAGTAAAGGGTCAGTAGAGCCCAGAGAAGTGGCAGAGAGAAGTAAGGGAGGGGCAGGGGAACAGGAAAGGGACCCACGTGTATTGGGCACTCATATGTGCTAGGCACTTAACATGTATTATTTCAGTGAACTGACTCCTTGCTCCCACCTAGAGAAGTAGACACCATCATCCCCATTTTGCAGATAGGAAACTGAAGCTAGGAGAGGTAAATTAACTTGCCCACAGCCTTGTGGCTGAGCTGAGACTCGAGCTCTGGCCTGCCTGATTTCAAAGCCCATGTGCTCCTTCCTCGGCACATCGCTGGGGTGTCAGAAAGCCAGGGACCAGGCGAGAGCTTGCAGAGGGACTGAAATGCAGCCAGGCCAGGAAAGTGAGCAAAGCACTGGATGGAGCAGCCAGGTCTTACCTAGCACCATGGGGACTTGGGGGGCTCCAGCCCCTTTGAAAGAGCCTAGGTCCTCTCTGCCTAGTTGGATAGACTTTCAATCCCTATGACTGTGGGTTTCATGGGGAAGCTGGGGGTGGGGAATGATGTTTAGTGGCCCAGGAGCCAACAGGAGGCCTCCTGTCCCCGTGCCTGCAGAAACTAGCCTGGACACCAAGTCCGTGTCAGAGGGCCACCTCAAGAGAAACATCGTGGTAAAGACCGTGGAGATGCGGGACGGAGAGGTAAGGAGAGCAGACCTGAGATTCTGGCCCTGGCAGAATTGAGACCAGGCTTTGGAAGAAAGCCTAAACTGCACATAGAAGGTTCTCAATCATTCGGAAGAGCTTCCCAGGGAGGCTCTGGAAGAGGGGAAGGAACCTGGATGTAATTCAACTCCCTATCCCCTCCGCTGGCAGTTCCAGGGAGCCTGGGTGCCCAGGCCACTGGGTGGAGTCCTGATTTGGACTTTCTCCCTGTCTCACCCTCAGACGCAGGTGCCCCCAGCACCAGGCCTGGGGAGAGAGAGAAAGAAAATTAAAGTTAGTAGCTTTCACTCCCAACTTTCAATTTCCGGCTTGATAAAAGGAACCTGCTGGAGGAATAGGAAGGGGGGATTTGGCATAAGCCCTCCCTGTCACACCCGCGACACTACTAGCTAATCTTACCACATCAGCTCGCCAGGTGCCAGGCCCGGCGCTAAATGCTTACGAGTGTTACCTCATTTCCTGGCAGCTTCTTGCGGGGGAGTGCTGGTTGCTCCCATAGAGAAGAAAGACCCGGGAAGGCTGGGGACTTCTCCAAAGTTGCATGGCCTTGAAGTGGTGGGCCTGATATCTGTGTGAGTCCCTAACTATTGCGCTGTGCACTTCTGTGCCCCCTGCAGGTCATAAAGGAATCCAAGCAGGAGCACAAGGACGTGATGTGAGGCAGGACCCTCCAGGTGGCCCCTGTCCCACAGTGTGAGGGGCCTGAGCAGATGGGATTGTTGCCCCTCTCCTGATGGTGGACTCCCCCAGACCCGAGTTCCCACTCACCCCGGCTGCTCCCCTCGTCCCTCCACCTCTACACCAGCTTGCTGCCCTAGGCTCCGTGGGTACCAGACCTGCCAGACAGCACCCACCCTACACCCAGTAACCCCAACTAACAAGGCACTTACCCCAAAGGGGCGGCCTGGAGGGGCATGGCCAGCAGCTTGGGTTAGAACCGGGAGGAAGGAGAAAAGTTGGGGAGGGCCAGGACCCAATAAATTGCCCTCCTCGACATCCCTAACCCCCACTGTCATGGCAACTATTGCCAGAGCTGGGGGTCCCTGGGGGTAACTGGGAAGTGGGCCTTGGGGTTTCGTCAGGCTGCTGGCGGACAACCAAGACTCTGAGACAGGAACCCCCACAGGCAAGGTAGTCCTGGCCAGGGGTGTCTTCTTCTAGACTGACCCTGAGCAGTCTGAGAGCGGGTGGGGACATCCTGCCACTTGGAGTGGTGCCCAGACAGAATGCCTGGCCTGCCCAGATCCCAGAGGGGCCTTCTGAGTGACGATTCAAATGTCTCAGTCCCACAGAGCTGACATGTGGGCATGCTGTGGGCATGCCATGGGCATGTGGGAGCTTGATTCTCAGCACTTGCGGGATCTATAGTGTAAGTGGAGAGGGAATGGGTGCTGGGAAGGAGTAGAGGGGAGCTGCCTGGCCCCTAGGTTGGATACAGAGAGGTCAAGCCCAGGAGTCGACCCTCCATAAGGCTGGAGGGGAGGCAGGTGGAGATGGTAGGGGAGGCAGTTGGGATGATGCTAGACATCAGAGTTGGGGGTTGTGGGCAACCAGGTACACCTGGCCTCTGGGTCATGGGGAATCAAGGAAGTGACTCATCCTCTTGAAGATGCTCAAACAGGAGAGAGAGGCAGCCGTCCCCGGGGGCAGGGCGCACTTTGTCCCATGCTAAAGGCCCCTTCCTTGCTGCATAATCCCTCCACCCAGGCGTCGGAGCTACTGTAGCTGCTGCCTCGAGACCCCAGCAAACACTGCTGGGCGAAGCCACCCCCATTCATCTGACACTCTCCACCCTACAGTGACCTGCTGCTTTCCCCTAACCAAGGGCCCTTGTGGTTCTCCTCTTACTCAAATACAAAGTGTACCCTCATTTTGTAGGTAGTACTCTAGTTTATCATTCGGGAAATGGAGGCATGAGCAGAGTGAAGGCTCTGGTTTGTGCTCTGCTTTCCGTGGGAAGACTGTGGGGGGCAGGCACAGGACTATCTGTTCCCAGAAGTAAGGCTGAAAGGGCCCACTCCAGGGTCCCCCTCGCCGTTCTAAGGCCAGAGAAGTGAGAGTCCCTCCCTCTTTCCAAGACCTGGTGCCCTTTCCCCCACTCCCTCCTGCCACCCACTGCTGCTAACCTTCAGAGCACCACTGCAGCCTTTACTCACTAAGGTAAATAAAGACAATGGCCGTGGCCTTTCCCAGAGTGGACTCTGATCTGTTCAGGAGAGGCTGGGGCTGGGGGAGAGGGCAGGAAACAGCCTGGGACAAGACTCAACTTGCTTCTTCTCGCTGATCATCTTGGGACCCCAAGCCCCCCAGCAAACTCCAACTCCAACCCTGCTCCACATGGCAGCCCCCGTGCCCCCCGGCCCTTCTTCTCACCCAGTCCCCAGCCCTGGGGAAAGCCCTGACCTTGACCTCACTTCCCCCTCCCATTTCCCCTGTTCTAGTCTTTACCTTTATTCCCAAACCGGCCATTCCAGAGACGAGGACATATACTAGGCTCCCCTACTCCCCCTTCCTCTCCCAGCTGCCCCCCATTTCAACCAGCGCCCACTTGGCAATCCCCCAAGGCAAGAAAAGAAAGCACCTCAAACACTGTTCCAACATCAAAAAGGTCATTTGATGAATATTAGGTTCACTTCTTCCTTCTCTGAGCGTGAGGTTGGAAGATGCGCACTCTGGCTGCTTCGGTACTGGCCCCAGTCCCCCATCTCCTGCCCGCCTCAGGCTGCTCCACCCGCCAGGAGCAGGTTATAAGTAACAGGTCTGTCCACACACACCCCCCTCCCCACTTGCCACACAGCCCAGCCCGGGATGCCCACCCAGAGGCATCCGGTGTCATCTAACAAACACATCTGAGTGCAACTGGTCTTCCGAGCGGGGGGGGGGGGGAGGCGGGCGGCTAGGGGGAGAATTTGGGGCAACAGTGAAATAAGTAACAGCAGCACCGGCAGAGGTGAATGGTGATAAAGACCGCCGTGATGAACAGGTAGCCCACCAGGGTGAGCTCCACGGCGGAGCGAGTCTCAGGGTCCGAGAACGAGGCCCGGTAGCGGCCCCAAGACATGACACCCAGCCGCAAGCCGGCAACACGCACCCCCTGCCGCCAGCAATAGTAGATGCCCCGGTCACTCAGCTGGGTGAAGCGGATGTGGAGGTGGTTGCCGTGGTCGATGAACACCCTCATGGACCTGTTGACGCCCCTCAGGTACTGCGTGCGGTACAAGTACTGGCGGTCCTTGTCCCAGGCCACGGCGTGCTCTGGCCGGGCCCCGGGACAGGAGATAATGAGTCCGTGGCCGAGCCTCTGCTGGTGGAACTGGATGGGCACCTGAGGCAACCAGGGCCGGCTGCCCACCTTGGACACATAGCTGAGGATGGCCATCACGCCCTCGTGAACCTTCTTCTCACACGGCACCACGCAGCTCTGGACCAGTAGTTCGGGGGTGTGCTCCCTGGCCTGGGCCCGAATCTTCCTGGGCACGGCCTGCGAGCCGCAGGACACCACCTCGGGCAGCGTCTTGCGGTAGCGGGGGGAGAGACCCGGGCTCTGCAGGTAGCACAGGCCGATGCGCCACTGCTCTCCTCGGACCCCGCAGCGGTCGCAAGGGGTCCACTCCCAGAAGGTGGTAAAGATGTGGAGGCTCCCGTGGTGCTCGTCGGCAAAGGGCTCCTGGCCCTGGTCCTTGAAGGTGGCCACCATTCCCTCGCCGCTCTGGATGTCCACATCGTAGGCATAAAAGTAGTCCCCCTTGCGGGTGCCACAAAAATACAAGCCCGAGTCCTCGGGCTGGGCCCGGAAAACCAACAGGCTGAACATGCGGATGCTGAAGCGAACCAGCATGTCGCTGCCCGCGCGCACCTGGGACTCCTCTGTCAGCACCCGCCCATCGAAGTCCGTCAGCACTTTGGTGTGGCTGCTACCCAGGTGCTTCTGATAGTACCAGACCACGGCAGACACCTCCTCGGGCTTGCAGTGGCAGGGAAGTTCGAAGCTCATGTCTGCCAGGTAGGCTGCATTGTCAAACATCAGAAAGGCTGGGCAGGGGGTCCTCTGAAAAATGTTCTCCTTCTCCACAATTTCGAAGGCCTGGAGACTCCCCCACACCCACAGGAGCACAGTGGTGTGGGCCAGGTTCATGCCTGCAAGAGGCAATGGTCAGAGGGGGCGGGGCAAAACCAAGGCACTCAAGGCTTCACGGGGCTTCTAGAGATCACTGCCAAGAGCAGGTATCTATAGGAGAAAGGACTGAGCAGCCAGAAGAGAAGCAAGAATCTGCAGAGGACACGGCCAAAGGCAAGGCAATTTATTCCCACCTGATGTACAAGATGCCCTTCTCATGCTCCAGACGTGATCTTGAGGGAAAGACCATTCTAGAACCTGGCCCTCTCTCTCCTTTCTAGAACACTGGCACTCACCCAAGAATGGGTCAGGGGAAACCGGAATGAGAAGCAAGGGCACAGGTGCTAGAACAGGAAAATCTCTGCCTTCCTGCTTCAGGTCCTGCCTGCCTGCTTGGTGGAAAGGTCTTCCCTTTGGTTAATCCGGGAGTTGAAGAAGACCCACCTGCCTGCACATCTGGCCATCTGAAGCCTGGGAGGCTGGCCAGACCCAAGCTGATGGCTTGGGGCTTTCCCAGACACAAACTGCCCAGGAATTCAGCCCCTGAGGAAAATACTACACCTCAATGAGGTAGCATTTGATTATTTGTCAATTAAATATGCATTCATTGATTTGGGGTATTCTTGTTAAGAGCTGTGGAGATCAGTATTTGTTTAACATGGAAGACTGATGATTTTTCTTTCTTATTTATTTATTTATTTATTTATTTATTTATTTATTTATTTATTTATTTATTTATTTTTGAGTAGAGGCTTTAACTGGTAATAGCCAGCATTTGGTTGGGTACACACTCGTCTCTCAGGGCCACGGGCTAGAGGCTTGGCAGACTCTAAGGGTGGGAAGCAAAACTCAAGTTCTTGGGCCCTTGACCATTCTGTTGATCTACACAGTTCAGAATATTGAGCAACCTAGGTGGCTGGAGAAGTGGGGAAGATTCGATTCTTGCATACGTTCTGCCAACTCTAGGTTGAGAAGGGAATTAGGTGTGGGCTTCTCATGACAGTCCTGCAGAGCCCCCAGGACAACAAGCAAAAAATGCCTCCAGTGGCCACGGGGGGGGGCCTCTGAAGGTAAATGGTCCCATCAATCCACCTTGTACAGCCCTAGCAGCTCTTGCAGGAGCCTCTCCTCCTCCTGGATCCCACCAGGCTGCTCCTCCAGACCCCGCTCCTTCTGGCTCAGCCCCTCCTTTGTGGGTCTGGGAGCACTCGTGGCCTGCAGCTTCTGAAACAGGCCTCTGCAGCTCTCTCTCTCCGCACGGCTCAGCAGGCTCAGGTTCAGGGTGAAGCGCCCGGTGCTGGCCAGGCTGTGCAGGATCCCTAGCACCACCAACCGGTCGGCTGGCCTCACATGATCCGCCAGTGCCACCAGCAGCTCCCCTAGAAGTCCAAACCCCACGTCCGTCCGGAAGAGGTGACCCAGCTTTGGACCTCCGAGCCGCAGCAGGGCCTGGTAGCGCTCTGGCCCGCTCCGCAAGTGCCGCCGCCAATCACGGTAGAACTCTGCAGAGGTCTCAGGCTGGAAAAGTGTTTTCTCCTGGATCACAAGGAAGGAAAGAAAGTCCCGAGCTCTTCCAGCTGCTCTGCGGCAGGAAGAGAGTGACAGTGATGGGAGCCTGTGGGTTTTCATCTTAGCTCTAGTGTTGCTTTCGGAGCACTAGGTAGGCTGTGGTCCCTGTGGGCCTGGTTTTCAGATCAGGGAACTGGGAATGGGACAGGGAGGGAGGGCCCCAAGGAACCCAGGCCATGATTTGAGAATCTCAGTTGCACTAGGATTTTCCCACTGATGAATGTGCACATATGTGCACTGCTCTATGAGAGTAAGTCAGGGGATGACTGGAAACCTCAGGAAGAGAGAAAGGAATTCAAGGTGAGTGTTAGAAATCTGACAGGCTGGGTCTCTCTCCCAATGCTGCCACATTACACTATATCATTACAGTGCCATATCATTACACTATATGCCATATAACCTGGGGGCAGAGCAGCTCAAGTCTGATCTGGGAGTGCAAGCCAACGGACTGAGTGAAGAAGACCTGTCTAGCCCACCTTCCTGACTGGTTCTGCCCAGCTTAACTCACTCTCGCCGTCTGCTGGTTGCTTTTCTCTCTGGGATTGGAGGCAGAAACCTGCCTCTTGTCAATTTAACATGAGAAAGAAGGAAGAAGTATGTGTCGTAAGAAGACAGGGTTGGAGGTTTAGGGCAGAGACTCCGACGGGGCTGAAGAGGCTGGGCCTCACCTACCTGGGAGATTTCAGTGGTCTCGTCCTGAGAGGTCCCCGTCTGAGTAGTGTGACAGTTCCAGGCCACAGCCCTCCTCCCTCCTGTCCTGGCCTCCCGCTCCAGTGGCTTCAGATGTGATGCAAGGACAATACTCCTGCAGGCAAAGGACAGGGATCGGAGGATAGACTTCACGCTCTCTGCAGATGTGAGGTGGCTGCACTTTGCATGATCGAGGCGAAACCTACCAGCAAGTCGATATGACAATAATAATAACAGCAACAATGGCTGACAGCTTTTGAGCACTTCCCATGTACCAGACACTGTGCTCAAAATCTTACATGGAACAATTTCTTTAATCGTAACAATAGTCACTCTCTTTTACAGATGAGGACTAGAGGTTCCGAGAGGTTAAATAACTTGCATAAGATCACACAGGTAGCAGAAGGTAGGGCCAGGACTGAGCCCAGAATTGCCTGACTTCAAAGCACATGCTCTTATCCGCTACAGTCCACCATAACAGGAGGGTCTGAGAAAAATTGCATTAAGCTGAAAAAAAAGAAAGAAATTGCATTAAGCCAACCTGAACTCCTCGTAGGAGGCCACCTTCTGCTCCACGGCCCGTAACTTGGCAGCATTCTCCCGTTTGTATTTCTCATCAGCACTGAGTGCAGCCTGCAGCTCTTTCTCCAAAGCCTTGAAGTCAATGATGTCTTTCCTTTCCATGGTCTGTTTCTAGGAAGGCAAAGGAAATGGACGTCACTGGAGGATCAATATCAGGGAGGAGGATGTGTCTGCCTTCTTTGCCAGCCTACAGAACGACCCCAAAGCACTCTGGATATCTTTCTACTTATCTTGCAGGGTGTTACAACAATCTAGTTCTCTATAGAGGGGAGCTGAGTTGCACAGTGAGGACTTAAGACTTGTCACTGAAAATAGAACACAGAGTCTGACTTTCAGTTTGGAGCCCTGTCTTTTTTTTTTTATGTTATGTTAATCACCATACATTACATCATTAGTTTTTGATGTAGTGTTCCATGATTCATTGTTTGCATATAACACCCCGCGCTCCATGCAGAATGTGCCCTCTTTAATACCCATCACCATGGAGCCCTGTCTTAATTTTGTTCTCTACCTCTAAAAGTATTTTAATTCTGGTGCTTCTGCTGAGGAGACATTTGGATCTCAGAATCCAGTCCCTTCACTCTTTCATATGGGTTCACTCTATAGCGAGTGACAGAGGACCTCCCACAAACGCAGAGCTATTGTTAACTATACTTCTGAGTCCAGGAATAAAATTTCACCCATCATTCAGTGTTTTCAATGGGGAATGATACTTTTCACCCAAACCAGATGCAATGACTGAGTAGGAAATCAAGCAGAAGTGGCAGAGGAAGGGGTTCAGGGATCTCCGTTCCCAAATCCCTCCGTGCAGACCAGGGCTGGAGCACAGGTCTGTAGGTACTCGAGCAACCTCTTTAGCTCTGCCACTGTACTTCTGCAGCCTCTGCGTATGTGAGGCTGATTGATCCGTTCAACAGGGAACTCATCTATATGGGTTCTAGTAGTGGCTCTGGCATTTACTTGCTGTGAGACCTCTCTGAACCTCAGACTTGTGGTGCGTTGACCTAGATTTTGTGGTGGTGTCATCATCAACAGCCCTAGGGCAGGGAAGCAGGAGGTGTGCGACCAACCCCACAGCCCTTTCCCTCCACCCCAGCGTGGGTAAACTGAACACCGAGAAAGGGGCGGGGCAGGCCAGGAACTTAACTCAGGTGTCTCGGCTCCTGTCCAGTTCTATGCCCTCCCCAGTCATTGAAGAGAGAGGACAACTAACCCTTCCGCTCCCCAGCCCTTCACCCCAGGACCTCAGGCCTAGGCTTCCTTGCTTTCTTTGGGAATACTCAGATACTCCGGAACCGCACAGCTCAGCGTAGAGGAGCGGTGGTTGCTCAGCAACTGCTCCAACAGCCTGACCACGTGATCGTCCAGAAAGGGCCCCCCCCCCTTTCAGGGTGGCTCCGAGGCGCCTGACCAGATTCATGCCTCCTCCGGCCTTAGTCTCTTTGGAGCAACCCACGCCTTGGTTTGGGGGCTCTCGACTCCACGTGGCTGCTTCCTGGGTCCGCGGCCGGCATTCCTCCTAGCCGGTCCTCAGGCAGAGGGCTGTCCTCGGGGCAGAAACGCGACGGCAGCGTCGGCGGGGTCCTTCCGGACGGCGGGCGCAGCGGTGCGGCGGCGTGGGGCGGAAGCGCGGTCTCGGGCGGCGGACTGGGAGCCTTAGGCTGAGCGGGCGACAGGTGAGCTGGCGCGGGTCAACGGCAGGAGAAAGTTGCTGGGATGGGACATTAAATAATGTCAAATCTGGAAGAGGCGTTGTAGGTTTTCTGCCCCCTTTCACTTTACAGATGGGTAAACTGAAGGGTGGAGCGGGAAAGGGAACGAAAGATGGCCCCTTCCCCCACAGCACATACCTCGATTCCGGGATTCCCTCAGTGTCGACCATCCGTAAAATTCCTTCCCTGGGCGAGGGTCGTTGTCTTACTCCCTCTTCCATCTGTGCCTTCTTCATCCCTTCTCTACTAAGCTTACTCCGTCATTATTCTGTATTCGTTTGGGAGCCTGCGTTATAGCGGGAAGCTACAATGAGGTTTGGCCACTAGTTTTGTGCAACTGTGGGCAAGTCTTCCACCTTCTCTGTGCCTTGTAGGAGTTATTCACTCATCATTCAACAAATAGTTATCGAGGTCTTGTTTTGTGCCACCACAGTTCTACGTGGGGGAAAAAAAAAGTCTTAACACCGTAGATGGGGAGATGATAGTGAAAGTGACGTGAATAGATACATGTGAGCGAGAGACTAGTACTACTACCAATAAAGTAATAATAAAACAGTGAAAGTGGGGATTGGAGAGTGTGTGTAGGGAGGACTGTTTTAGAGTGACATTCTCAGAGGTGACATTTTATTTTGTTTTATTTTTAAATATTTTATGTATTTGACAGAGACAGCAAGAGAGGGAACACAAGCAGGGGGAGTGGGAGAGGGAGAAGCAGGCCTCCCGCCAAGCAGGGAGCCTGATGCGGGGCTTGATGCTGGGACCCTGAGATCATGACCTGAGCCCAAGGCAGACGCTTAACGACTTAGCCACCCAGGCGCCCCAACAGAGGTGACCTTTTAGTAGGGACCTGAGTGAAATGAAGGAACAAGGTATAAATATCCAAGGGAAGAGCATTTCGGAAGAGAATTTCAAGTATAAAGGCCCTGGAGCAGAAATGAGCTTGATTTGTTCCGCGAGCAGCCTTTTATAAAAATGTGTGCAGGCACTTCATGGATCTTGGGGGAGTGAAATGAGCACAGATGTGTTAACTCTTGGGAAATAAAAAGAATATGCATATGAAAGTTTCCATTGTAATTTACATTTAATTACAAGTCCCTGGAGTCCTTTACTTGAGATGAATACCACTATCTCAAAATAAAATATTCCATTCTGTTAACATTGCGTTCCTGCTATGTTGGGCATTGGCAGGAAGGCACAAGGAACACAGGGTTCCTGTATTCAAGAAGAGCCAAAAAATAATGCTTGCTGACATTTATCGAGCCAGGGACTTTGATAAATTGTTTACAGAGACTGTTTTGTGTAAATCTCATAACTTCACACAATGGGGATTACTCCATTTTCCAGTTGAGGATACAGATTTGGAGAAGTGAAGTAACTAACCTGAAAGTACCTAGTTAGTAAGTGACAAAGTTAGGATTCAGATGTAGGCCTTTCAACCCCAGAGCCCTAACCCTTACACCACCTCTGGTTTGTTGTTTATTACTTATAAACTGTAGGGTTGTTGGGGAGGGTAATTAGTAGTTAACTGCCATTCAAGGCAGAGTTAAATGCTGATTAAGGTACAAAAGGCTATAGGAGTGTAGGGGAGTGAGAAATTGAGGATCTAGAAAAGCTTGAAGGAGGTGCCATTTGAATTGTTACTTTGAATAGAATTTCAGTAATTGAAGTGGAGAAAACCATGGAATACTTATTAATTACAAAGAGAAAACAAGAACTTTACATTGGAAAAGCCTGGCAGACACCACCATAATCAAGTAATTAAATGAACGTCACCACTAATGGGACAGATTAAAATCTTGTACCACCTGATAGGAGATGCACTGAAAAGAACACCGCATTGCTTCTGAGAGATTCCTTTTAAAAATGCAAAACCTGACTCCAGTCATGAGGAAACACCAGATATACCCAAATTAAGGGACATTATACAAAAATTAATCGCCTGTAATCTTCAAAAGCATCAGGTCGTAAAAGTCAAGGAGAGACTGAGGAGCCGTTCTTGAGTGCAGGAGACTAAACACGTGACCGTTAAATGCAAACATGTGACTCTGGATTGGATCCTTTGCTGCGCAGGACATTATTAGGATAGTTTGTTCTAGGGGCGCCTGGGTGGCTCTGTCGGTTAAGTATCCAACTCTTGATCTCAGCTCAGGTCTTGATCTCAGGGTCATGAGTTCAAGCCTGGCATTGAGCTCCACGCTGAGCGCACAGAGCCTACTTAAAAAAAAAAAAAAAAAAAAGTACAGTTTGTTTTAATAATGGAGGTCTGTGGATTAGGTGGTAGTAATGTGTCACTATTAATTTTCTGATTTTGATTGTCATACTGTGGTCATGTGGGAAAATGTCCTTGTTTGTAGGAATCACACACACTAAAGCAGGGGTTGGCAAACTTGCTATCAGGGGCCAGATAGTAAATATTTTAGGCTTTGTGGGTCATATGGTCTCAGAACTACTCAAGTTTGTTACAGTGTGAAAGCAGCCACAGACATTATAAATGAATGAGCCTGGCTGTGTTCCAATAAAGCTGTTTTTATAGACACTGAAATTTGAATTTTATATAATTTGCACATATCATGAAATATTCTTTTGATATTTTTCAACTATTTAAAAATGTAAAAGACAAAAAAAAATGTAAAAGACATTTCTAGCTTGGGGGCTGTATGAGAACAGGCAGCAGGCCAGGTTAGCCCCAGGCCGTAGTTTGCCAGCTCCTGCATTCAAGTATTAGGAGGTGATGAAGCACTGTGTCAGCAACTTATCCTCGAGTAATTTAGGAAAAAGAAAAATATTTGTGCTACTTTGCAACTCTCTGGTGTTTTAAGTTACAATTTTTTTAGTATAATAAGAGTGGGAGAAGAGAATGTAAACAGTGAGGAGGAGCAGTCAACAGTCCTAAGAGGAGATGTGTTGAAGGGGATATGGTCAACCATAAGGTTAGAAATGTGGGGCCGTGTTGTGGAGGCCTTGGTTACCTCGCTAGACTCTAACACCTCTTTTCCTTGAATTTTAGCATCATGGATACTGACTTGTATGATGAGTTTGGGAATTATATTGGACCAGAGCTTGATTCTGATGAAGATGATGATGAATTGGGCAGAGAGACCAAAGATCTTGATGAGGTAAAACAAATATATTACTGTAAAACAAATATATTACATATGCATCTCTCTCTTTAAAAAAATGGGGGGGGCAGTGAATCCTCTGTGCTCCCATAATATTCTGTGTATATCTCTCACATTGCACCTTTTAAATATATGACTTGTTGGGGTCTTATGCTGCCCCTAAGAAAGCTTAGCTACTGAAGTTCCAAAAGGGGATATAAAGTAGTTTCATGGGTGGGGTGGTTTTATAATACGAGCTCTGGTTTATCTGGTAGTAGCTCTCCTTCCATTTACCTGAAGTTCTTTTTTTTTCTTTTTAAGATTTTTATTTATTTATTTGACAGAGACACAGCGAGAGAGGGAACACAAGCAGGGGGAGTGGGAGAGGGAGAAGCAGGCTTCCCACCGAGCAGGGAGCCCGATGCGGGGCTCGATCCCAGGACCCCAGGATCATGACCTGAGCCGAAGGCAGACGCTTAACAACTGAGCCACCCAGGCGCCCCTACCTGAAGTTCTTTTTGACGGTTATGAGTAATAGGAACTTAGAAAAGGTGGTCAGTTTTTCCAAGTGCAGCTGCACTGCAACTTCCTCATAAGCTTAGGTTTTGCAAGGTGAATAAAAGCAATAGAAAGGGAAGATACAGGGGCACCTGGGTGGCTCAGTCACCTAAACATTTACCTTTGGCTCAGGTCATGGTCCCAGGGTCCTGGGATGGAGCCCCATGTTGGGCTCCCTGCTCAGCGGGGAGTCTGTTTCTCCCTCTGCGCTCCCCGCCCCCACTTATGCTCACACTCTCTCTCTAATAAAAAAAAAAAAAAAGGAGGGGGGAGGTACAGATTCTTATGACTCCCTTCAGGAGAGCTATGGAGGATGGGTCCAGAGTGGTCTGAGGCTTGCAGGAGACATCAACGGTGGCTTTCATGTGTTAGCAATGTCCAGAACAAGATGAACAAGAGGTGGATGGGCCCACTGCTTATTGATGGAGGTGTGATATTAACAGGACGGCGGGAAAGCAGAACAGTCTATCTGCTCCATTAGGGAAAATGTGCTTCAAATTGGAAAAAACAGAATAAACACTGGAAGAAGAAAATTGAAGCCTTCTAGGTGAGGTGAAAAGAGAGCATCTTGCAGTTTTAGGTGTGTTCAAGTCTTTGGGTTCAGATGAATTATTTCCTGGGTCGGTGTGGTAGGGGAGACCTGGCAGAGGGAAGCCGAGAGAGCCATTGTGGCCATCTTTAATGAACTGGGGAATGGCTGTGGTGCTAGCAAGTGAATCAGGCAACTTTTCTACTTTTCAAAGATGAAGATAATGGCACTATGTTTCAGAAACTGCCAGCTAGTATGTGTGATGTACATCCACGGTAAAAATAATGGAAGGAATTTTAAAACAAATGATTGTGAAACTCAGGAAGCTCATGTGAGTTTTATAAAAATGATTTTCTCGATATGATTACTAGATTGAAATATAGGTCAGGGCTATGCTGTAGGTATTATGTATCTTGATTTGAGCAAGGCATTTGAAGTTTTTAATTTTTTTTATAAACCAGGTTTTTCTTTTTAAAAATATTTTAAAGAGATAGTTTTCATTTTATAAGCAATTTGTGAATATATTCTTATGCAGATCAAATAGATAGAAAGTCTTCTTGGTCCTTATTCCATTTCACTTTTCCTAAGGTAATCATTGTAACTCATGATGTTCCTGTGGAAAGAATAGGGGTTGGGTCATAATCACGGTAGGAGAGGTCACAGCTGATAGAACAGTGAGACCCAAAGAGTGTTGATTAGTGGATCACCACCAGAGGTGACATGCCCCAGGCATCATGCTTGGTCCCATTCTTTTCAACCTTTTGTTTTGTTTTGTTTTTAAGATGTTATTTATTTGAGAGAGACAAAGCGAGAGAAGGAACACAGCAGGGGGAGTGGGAGAGGGAGAAGCAGGTTTCCCCACTGAGCAGGGAGCCCGATGCGGGGCTTGATCCCAGGACCCTGGGATCATGACCTGAGCCAAAGGCAGATGCTTAACAACTGAGCCACCCAGGTGCCCCTCTTTTCAAACTTTTTATCAATGGCGTAGGTGAAGATAGAGAAGGGAAGTTTATAAAATTCACACATGACATAAGCCAACACACTGGATAAGGGATTCTAAATTCAGAGTGATCTCAACATACTTGAATTCCAGGCTAAGTAAATAAAGAAATTCATTCATTAACTATTTGTAATCACTTACATATTTTTTAAATATTTTATTTATTTATTTGAGAGAGAGAGCATGGGGGGGAGGGTCAGAGGGAGAAGCAGACTCCCTGCCGAGCAGGGAGCCTGACGTGGGACTCGATCCCAGGACTCCAGGATCATGACCTGAGCCGAAGGCAGTCGCTTAACCAACTGAGCCACCCAGGCGCCCCTCACTTATATTTGTAATCACTTACTATTTCCAAGGAATCATGATACAGAGAGAGCCAAGGCACTATCCCTGCCCTCCAGGAACCTACTGTTCACCAGGGGAGATGAAGTACAAAAAAATATAGTATGAAGCAGGGAAGGGCAAGTGCCATTTAGATTATTTTATCATCTTATTTTTATTTTTTTTTTAAGATTTTATTTTTAAGTAATCTCCACACCCAACGTGGGACTCAAACTCACAATCCTGAGTCAAGAGTTGTGTGCTCCACCAACTCAACCAGTCAGGTGCCCCATTCAGATCATTTCAACTTAGTAATATAGTAATAATTAATAAGGGGGGATCATTTCTGGCTGGGATGACCGAGAAGGGTATCTGAGGAAGTGACATAGTGGAGCCAAAGACTGACTAGGCATCTATAGGGATAGGAAGTGGAGTGATTAATGGTTGCCTTCATTTTGGGGCATGGAATTGGGGAGTGATGGCCAAAGGGTACAGGGTTTCTTTTTGGGGTGACAATCTGACATCATTTGTGGTGGTGGTTGCACAGCTCTGAATATACTAAAAACCACTGAATTGTGCATTGAAAATGGGTGAACTATGTGAAGTGTGAATTCTATTTCACTAAAGCTGTTAGAAGTCCTTTAAAGCAGGACCACTTAGGCCCTGTGTGAACATTTTCACCTCAGTACCGAGTGTTGAGTTCATCCCACTCTGGTTCATGCTCCTCGGTATTGTTGCTTGTGCAGGGCTCTGCTCTTGTTTAATTAACTTACTAATTCCTTTGTATCTCTTTCTCATGCTATTACTGTAGTAATTGTAGCATGTGCATGTGAATTTTTGTATGGGCTACAAAATGTGAATGGTTGCATTATTAATGTAAATACTGTAAATAGTAGTGGCTTGTCTGCATCATTCTGCTTCTCACTTTTGCCACCCAGCATTGTGGTAAGTGTTGTGGTTTAGGATCCATCTCTGGTGCTGTGTGTCTGGTCTGGCTTCTGACTGCTGCTCAGTAATCCCTGGTGTGCATTACTTTCTTATCAATGGGCACCAGGGTGACCTGCCACCAGCCTCCCCTCATACAAATAACGTTGTGGTGGATAATCGCAGATATGTCCCTCCCGCACCATGTGAAGATGTCTTTGAGTTATATTCCCAAAAGCAGAGTTGCTGATCACAGGATCATGTACATACTGAATGTGTTTATACTTAGTTAAGGGGTTTTTACTAAGTGCAGTCAGATTGCTCCTCCACTTACCAGCACTAGTCCATAACGCCTCCCAGCAGAATGAGAGTTCCTGTAGCCTCCCAGTCCACACGGAAGATTTGCATGCACAGATTTTTTTATTTTTACCTTTTTTTAAGATTTTATTTATTTGAGAGAGAAAGATAGGGAGAGAGCCTGAGCAGCGGGGAGAGGGAGAAGCAGGCTCCCTGCCAAGCAGGGAGCCCAATGTGGGACTCAATCCCAGGACCCTGGGATTACAACCCGAGCCGAAGACAGACACTTAACTGACTGAGCCAGCCAGGCACCCAGCACAGAAAAAGATTTTATTTATTTGATAATGCAATATATGTTAAGAAAAAAAAAGATAGCAGGAGGGGAAGAATGAAGGGGAGTAAATCGGAGGGGGAGACGAACCATGAGAGACGATGGACTCTGAAAAACAAACTGAGGGTTCTAGAGGGGAGGGGGGTGGGGGGATGGGTTAGCCTGGTGATCGGTATTAAAGAGGGCACATTCTGCGTGGAGCACTGGGGGTTATGCACAAACAATGAATCATGAACGCTACATCAAAAACTAATGATGTAATGTGTGGTGATTAACAAAACAATAAAAAATTAAAAAAAAAGATTTTATTTATTTGAGAGAGAGCAAAAGCAAGAGAGGTCACAGAGGGAGAGGGAGAAGCAGACTCACCGCCACGTAGAGAGCCCGATGCAGGGCCCGATCCCAGGACCCTGAGATCATGACCTGAGCCGAAGGCAGTTGCCCAACTGACTGAGCCACCCAGGTGCCCCTAAAAACATTTTTTATTGAAGTATATAATAGTAAAGAGATGTGTAGGATTTTGATAATGGAGACAGGAGAGAAGGAAGGACATTCTCGAAAGGAGTGCAGTGAGCAGGGGCCCAGAGGTAGCATTTTAAGAGGAACTGATTCCTCCTCCCAATTGCCAAAGCACAGTCCCTGGAGGACGGCTGTAGGGGTGAAGCACAGAGGAGGGACCAGACCCTAAGGCGTCGAGTGGAGAACCGGGAGGAAGGGGTAAAACGATCAAAGCAAGATGCTGGGACCCTTCCTTTAGTGAAGGGAGAGTCAGGAGGCCAGGAGCACATCACAGTGAGGGTGCACAGGTGTGGAGTTAGAGGGGGAGAAATTGGGGTGGGTGGGATGATTAGCAGAACACTGGTTATTAACAGATGAATCGAAATGAGAAAAAGATGCTTGCATAGTTTTATTTTAGACTTCTCAAGTTTGAGTTACCAACACAACCAGCTAGAAATAATTACAGGTACTTGGAAATTATTACATAAAATCCTACAGTTAGATGCAAAATGCATTCAGCAGTATGGGGCAGGAGGAAACTGGCTTGATAGCTGTTTTGGGGCACGTGAGAAGGATATATACGGCTACCCAAAGAGCTGATGTAATGTTAGACTGCGTTAATTGAAGAAGAGCGTAAGGATGGTAGGAGGTAGCCAGTCAGCACACCACTGGAGGGTTTTTTGTTCTTTTTAAGAAAGCATTTGACATGCTGGGATTTGTGTGAAGGAAAACGGGCTCCCACCAGTACCTCTACCTGCCTCCCTGCGTCGGTGCCATATGCCTTCCCTCCCGTTCTTAGGGATGGTTTGTTCGTGTTGTTATCTACTAGAAACTAGGTCCCCCCTTCTCACCTGCACGAGACCAGCACCCCAGCAGTCCGCCCCCATCCCCCCGCTCCTGTGTCAGTTTTCCCTCTGCTAGATCATCCCCGTCAGCATACAGACAAGCTGGTATTTCTCTGAATTCATCCCATTACTCTGCTTCCCACTGCAGCATGCCTCAGAACAGTTTTTGATACTTGCTGTCTCCGCATCCTCTCAGACCCATTTTCTCTCAAGCCCGTTTCTGTCCTCTGCCTCTCCCGTTCCACAGCACCGCTGACCTCAGCCCAAGGCCCCGTCCTCCGCTTACTTGACGGGTCTGCAGCCTCTGACCGACCTGGCTGATCACTCCCTCCTTAAAATCTCCTCTTCCATTGGCTTCCATGGAACCCCCTGGTTTTCCTTCTCCTCACTGGCCCGTTCCTTCTCCATCTTTGCTGCTGGGGCCTCCTCATCTCCCTGACCTCTAAGTGTCAACAGACCCCAAGGCTCTGTTCCTCATACCTCTTCCCTTAGTACACTCACTCCCTGGTGATCTCATCCACTCTATCAGATGCATTCTGTTGGGGGTATAGCTCAGTGGTAGAGCATTTGACTGCAGATGCATTCTGTTCACAAAGGACTCTCAAACTTCTATGCTGTTCTCCTCATCCTGGCTTCCTTGCTAATCCTCTTGGCCCAGGTCCTTCGCATTTGTTGTTCCAGTCAACTAGAATGCTCTTCCTCAGCCATTTGTAGAGCTTCTCTCTTCCTTCAGAGTTTTACTCAAATGTCATCACCTCTTTTTTTTTTCCATTGCTATATTATCAATACTAGAGCAGCGTCTGGTACACAGTAAGTGCCCAGGAAGTATTTGTTGAGGGGCGCCTGCGTGTCACAGTCGGTTAAGCTCTGACTCTTGGGTTTTGGCTCAGGTCATGATCTCACAAGTGATCTCAGCGTTGTGAGATTGAGCCCCTTGTCAGGCTTCACACGGAGTCTGCTTCAGACTATCTCTCCTCCTCCCTTTGCCCCTCCCCCTGCTCGCTTATCCTCACTCACTCTCAAATAAATAAATCTTTTTTTTTTTTTAAAGGTATTTGGGGTGCCTGGGTAGCTCAGTCGGTTTAAGTGTCCAACTCTTGATCTTAGCTCAGTCGTTAAGCGTCTGCCTTCGGCTCAGGTCATGATCCCAGGGTGCTGGGATCGAGCCCCGCATTGGGCTCCCCGCTCCGCGGGAAGACTGCTTCTCCCTCTCCCACTCCCCCTGCCTGTGTTCCCTCTCTCACTGGGTCTCTGTCACATAAATAAATAAAATCTTAAATAAATAAACAAACAAACAAATAAATAAATAAGGTATTTGTTGAATAAGTGAAGAAACCAGGATGTTTTGGAACATAAAAGGTGTTGTAGTAGCCACTTCTAATTATTCAAAGGACTCTTTTTTTTTTTTTTAAGATTTTATTTATTTATTTGAGAGAGAGAGAGCATGAGCTGGGCAAGGGGCAGAGAGAGAAGCAGACTCCTGGCTGAGCAGGAAGTCCGATGTGGAGCTCGATCCTGGGACGCTGGGATCATGACCCGAGCTGAAGGCGGACACTTAACCAGAGCCACCCAGGTGCCCCTCTTCAAAGGACTCTTTAGCAGAAGAGGGCATAGCTTCATTCAGTGTTGCTTATGACCATGGCTAACTTATAAGGAGGTGTTTTTAAAGTCCTTTACAAAGACTAACTTTCTAGCTCTGCTTTCCAGCAGGGAAATGAGCCATCTTGTGAGCGAGTGCCATGTTGCTGCAAGTATTCCGCAGGGGCAGGAATATGTAGAAAGAATTCATTCTTCCCACAGAATCTCCTGTGTGCCAGGCTCTGTGATGTGCACTGAGGACACACAGACGAATAGCACTCAAAGAACTCCCATCAAATGGGATTCCGAAAGTGTAAGGAGCTTTAGCACAGTGTTCAGAAAAGGGCTTGCATGGGGGCACCTGGGTGGCTCAGTCGTTCACTGTCTGCCTTTAGCTCAGGTCGTGATCCCAGGGTCCTGGGATTGAGCCCTGCGTTGGGCTCTTTGCTTTGCAGAAAGCCTGCTTCTCCCTCTCCCCCTGCTTGTGTTCCCTCTCTCACTCTGTGTGTCTCTGTCATATAAATAAGTAAAATCTTAAAAAAGAGAGAGAAGGAAAAAAAAGTGCCTGTGTATGGTCGATGGCTGTTAACTATTTACTGAGTGAACGATTTGACAATCAGGCTACATTTCCTCTCATCTGATTCCAAACTGTGCCGTGGTCTTGTGTGCTGCCCATGTGAGTGCGCCGATGAGACATTGCTGCAGAGCAGAGACATGTGTCAGAACTTTGAAGTATACAGACCCTTCGGCCCAGCAGTTTTGCTAATAGAAATTATCCTAAAGAAATAATGAGTGATGTTCAATACGGGTGTACAAAAAGTGGTTGGTTATGGGCGCCTGGGTGGCTCAGTCAGTTGAGCATCTGCCTTTGGCTCAGGTCATGATCTCAGGGCTTGGGATCAAGTCCCACTTCGGGCTGCTTGCTCAGCGGGGGATCTGCTTCTCCCTCTGCCTGCAGCTCCCCTTGCTTGTGCTCTCTCTCTCTCTCTATGTGTCAAATGAATAAATAAAATCTTTAAAAAAAAAAAAAGGGGATATGCTATGATAAGCCATTTGTTTTCTTCAGTCTCGATCCACTTGTGACCGGTGGCCCACATTTAAGAAGGGGCTAGCTTGAAGCTGGAGAGCCGTCAGTAGCCATGGCTTACTGTGAAGGATCACACAAGAGCAGGACCTGCCCTGCTGACTCTTTGGCACAGAACTCAAAATAAGAAGCTGCCAAGCCTGGGGAGTCATTGTTCTTAACTCGTATAATGTAGATAGTCACTGAGAAGGAAGGTGCACACTTCTCCTGCCCTCCTCCCCTCTCTTGCTCTTAGATGGACGATGACGATGATGACGACGATGTAGGAGACCATGATGAGGACCACCCTGGGATGGAGGTGGTGCTGCACGAGGACAAGAAGTACTACCCCACAGCTGAGGAGGTGTACGGCCCCGAGGTGGAGACCATTGTTCAGGAAGAAGACACCCAGCCCCTCACCGGTAAGTCAGGAGGCACCGGGTTGGGAGAGATGAGATGGAGTCTGGAAAACTTCAGGTCATAGCCGTCAGCAGTGTTGAAAGTTCACTGAATGAACTGATTTTCTTCTCTCTACCAGGTACTGCTTCTGGATTGAGATTCCTTTCACCCTGTTTTAATATTCAGTACAACTTGTAGCTTGTTACGAAGCAAATGGGAGTTGCTTCTTTATTTACTGAATATCTGTTTAGGTGCTTAAAGACTATTTTTGTTTGTTTTGTTTTGGGGTTTTGGGTTTTTGTTTTGTTTATTATTTATTTTTAAAGATTTTATTTATTTCTTTGTCAGAGAGAGAGCACAAGCAGAGGGAGAAAGCAGGCTCCCCGCTGAGCAGGGAGCCTGATGCGGGACTTGATCCCCGGACCCTGAGATCATGACCTGTGCTAAGGCAGACACTTAATTGACTGAACCACCCAGGCGCCCCTGTTTTGTTTTTCATGTAGGCTCCATGCCCAGCGTGGAACCCAACGGGCTTGAGCTTATGACCCCGAGATTAAGACCTGAGCTGAGATCAAGAGTTGGACACTTAACTGACTGAGCCACCCAGGTGCCCCAAGTTAAAGACTTTTTTTAAGTTCTCCCTCTGGTGTGATCTGTTTTTCTATCGAAATAATCCTAACTCCTTTAACCAGTCCTCACAGTGCCAATTTTCTACTTCTTATATCCTTTTCATTGATCTTCTGAGAAGTGGTTAGATTTTATAAATGCAAGGAGGTTTTGAACTGACATTGACCTCAGCCTATATCTAGTCCCTCTCCCTTCCTCCCACAAAATGAAGTCCAAACTTCTCAGTCCACAGTTCCAGATCCTTCACTGTCTAATGCCAAACAGCATTTCCAGAACTTGTTTCAACGTATGAGTAGTCCTTGAGAATAACATAAATTGATGTCACATATACATTATGAAAGCTCAGTCTAGGGGCACCTGCGTGGCTTAGTCGGTTGAGCGTCTGACTTTTGGTTTTGGTTCAGGTCATGGCCTCAGGGTGGTGAGATCAAGCCCTGCGTCAGGCTCCATACTCAGCGGGGAGTCTGCTTGAGATTCTCTTTCTCCTTCCTCAGCCCTTCCCCCTGCATGTGGTCTCTCTCTCTCTCTCAAATAAATAAATACTAAAAAAAAAATGAAAGCTCAGTCTAATGGAATGGGGCTCTGTATTTTTATGTTTTATGCCAACCTGCACATCACTACTTTTTTTCCTCCCCCCACTAGAACCTATTATTAAGCCAGTGAAAACCAAGAAATTCACTCTGATGGAGCAGACATTACCTGTCACGGTGTATGAAATGGAGTAAGTTATAAGGTCTCTCTGCCTCTCTGCACAAATAGTGTGGGTTCATTTTTCTCTGGAGGTAGGATGTGGTTTGTGGTTGAAGTAGCTAGTGAATTGAAAAAGTAAAAATTCTCCTACAATTTGTCAGAATTTTCCTTGAGCATACGGTTGCTGGAAAAGTTAAGCCCATCTTAAATTTTTTCTTGGCTCTCATTCAGATATCGGCCTTTTCTCTTCCAACCCTTTAGTTGGGTAATAAATGAAGCTGGCCTTTGAGGCAGAACTGGGTATTGTCATCATCAGCGTTGGGGCCACCAGAGCCTATTTTGACTTGGTAAGATTGCTTAGTGTTTGGGGAATATAACAACTCTTTATTTTGGTGAGGAGGGTACAAGTAGGTGGATACATGTGTAGAGTAGTTTAGACTCTTCATACTGCAGGCTTTCTGAAAATATTTTCATTGATGAAATGCACTTATAAGGTCCTCATATATTGAAGTGTTTGGGACTCATGGGCACCTAAGTGGCTCAGTTGGTTAAGCGACTGCCTTCGGCTCAGGTCATGATCCTGGAGTCCCGGGATCGAGTCTCTCATTGGACTCCCTGCTCAGCGGGGAGTCTACTTCTCCCTTGGACCCTCCCCCCTCTCATGCTCGCTCTCTATCTCATTCTCTCTCTCAAATAAATAAAATCTTAAAAAAAAAATGAAGTGTTTGGGACTCATTATTAGATAATGAAATTCCTTTTTTTTTTTTTTAAAGCATATTGACATTTAGTATGTCCAAAAGAGTGGGGTCTCTTCTGAATGGTCAGCTCACCTGCCAACATTCAGCCATTTTTGAAACAACTTTTCAGTTGTCTTCAGAACTTTCTTCAGATTCCCTTGCGTTCTCAATGGTGATTTTTTTTAAAATCTGAAATCTTTGAAAGTGGGGTAGATGTTTCAAAGAGCCAAAGTTCTCTGAAGGCTACTTGCCATGAGGTAATGTGGGTGATAAGCAAGAAAGACAGCGCTGGTTTTGATCAAGTTGGAACTCCTCAGCATCATTAATGAGATGGAGTTTTCTGAAAGGTTTTGTTAACTAGCTCTGAGGGCAATTTCAAAATAGAAGCTGGGGTGCCTGGGTGGCTCAGTTGGTTAAGCGTTCCACTCTTGATTTTGGCCCAGGTCGTGATGTCAGAGTCACGGGATTGGGCCCCATGTCAGACTCTGCGCTCAGCATGGACTCCGCTTATCCCTCTCTCTGCTCCTCCCTCCCCCACCCCCCTTCTCTCTATCTCTATCTCTCAAATTTTTTAAATCTTAGAAGCTCTCAAAGTAATTTTAAGTCCCCTTTGCATTAATAGAATAAATGCATAAATGGAAGAAATCTAACCTGAGGATTTTGAAAGGGACAGTGCTTGTGTATGTGTGCGCGTGCACGCTGGTATTTGGTTTTGCTTTTCTTCTTGCTTGCTTTTGAAATCTCATTTCATGGGTTGTGTTACTTCATGGAAAAGTGTCTTCCATTTCCAGAGCCAGACCAGTGTAGATACAGAAATTCGTGTCTGCCTCTGAGCATTCTTCAGTTGGTCTGAAAGTTGTTCCTGGCAAACTATGTGAAACACCTTTGCGCCACTTCCCATTTGGAAGCTTTTGCCAAAGTCCTTTTTCTCTTTAACTTTCTCCTTTCAGTTTCTTGGCAGATCTGATGGATAACTCGGAACTCATCAGAAATGTGACCCTCTGTGGCCATCTCCACCATGGCAAGGTGAGAGAACTTTCAGCTACTGGAAACAGGATTTCTCTTTGTTCCTGCTCATTTTTTCAGCCCTCAGAGTCACAGGTTGGGGTTTCAGGCCGTAATGCTGGATCTCCTGACTCGGGGGGGCCTCCGGGCCTAGTGGGAAACCTGCTGTGAAATTCTAGCTTTTCCTGAGCAGCAGATGGAGCCTGTTTCTAAGCCACTTGCAGCCCTGTGCCTACATCTGGACAGAAGAGGGGAAATTGAGCCTTACTCTGACTTTATAAGTTTTCATTTCCTGGGGGAATGCTTGTCCAAGAAAGATTTCATCTTTCATTTGAAAATAATCCTACGGCTTCAGTGTTAATCCCTTGCTGTCCCATAATCCTCCTTGCTCCCCTCTTCCTCTCCTTATCCCGAAATTATGTGGTATATTGGGCGCTGAGAGAAGGGTAGAGTAGATTTTCCTTTGTGCTTGGCAGATCTTAATCTTCTCTTCCCTTTCAGACGTGTTTTGTAGATTGTTTAATAGAGCAGACTCACCCGGAAATCAGGAAGCGCTATGACCAAGATGTAAGTAGAAAATCTGTGGAAGGTTTAGGATGAACCATTCATAATATACAGGGGTGTCTCTCTCCTTCCCCTTCCTTCCACCTTCCCACTCTCATTATAAATAATGGCGCCTACAAAGTGCTGCTTTATAATTGTAATCTCTATTCATAGCTTTAAAGAAAGTAATTTTAACTTTCTTAGGAGCATAGAGAATATTAACCTGTAGTATTTTTGGATGATCTGTTCTGCACTTGGGATCTTTCCTCTGTTCTGATATATCCTGACTTTTATAGCCTATTCTTTCCTGTCATGGTATTAATAGCCTACTCTATAAATATAATACAATTGGACCTTGTTGTTTCCATGATAAATTTAAATGCCTGTGAATGAGGCCAAATGTGGCTGCAAGTCTCAGCACAATAAATGCTCCATGTCTGCTAGATTGAGTGTTTTGACATGCGGGGGGCGGGGGGGGAGGGTTCCATAAAGGCCGGATGTGTCTCCCTTTATCACTTTAGAATTCAGTGCATTTGATAAAATTTAGCTCTCCAGCCATACCTGGTCCTCATTGATCACCCTGGCCCCCCCCAAAAAAACACCCAACCAGGAACATTTTCCATCTGAGAGGGCACTGGTTTTATTGTCTGGAATTTCTGTAGGATACCCTTCTGTCTTCCATGTAGCCTCCTGAGGCAGAAAGCCTTGAGTGGGGAGCTGGTGGAGGAAAGCGATTAATGGTTTGTGTGGGAGAGGAGTCTGGAGTCAGGTGGTAACAGCGCTTCTTTTTTTTTTTTTTTTTTTAAGCTGTGCTATACTGACATCCTCTTCACAGAGCAAGAGGTAAGTGTGCCTGGGGAAATCTGACTGTTGCCCACACTGGACCCAGCAGGAGTTCTGCAGGGAATGTGGGGGAGCCTTTATGTTAACACTTTGCTCTGCACTGCACCCCCTCTCTCTTTCCCATCTCACACCTCTTTATCTCATAGCTTCTGCCGGTCATCCTCTGATCTAGTACTTGAAAGAGAGCGGGGCAGGTAAGCGGTAGGGTAGGTGGAGGGACCTTCCTTCCCTTGACTGGATTTAATTTGGCCTAGTAGGGCAAATGCTAAGAGGTGATGTCTACATTAACGCTCTCAGTTACACAGAAACTCAGTAGAATTTTTTAAATGACATCATCCTTAAATCTGTATGATGATTCCATCCATATGATGATCTCTTTCTAGGAGTAGTTTCTCTTTGAGAGTGGGTTCCTCTGTCTTTGTGCTTCTCTTCTTTGTAAAGGAGCATATATCGCTGTCTTTCCCATTCCAGGTGGTGGGTGTTTCTTCCATCTGGATCTTTCCCCTACTCTCTGACCCCTCTCTTTTCTCTCTCCTTTGTTTCTGTCCCTTTTTTTAAATCACCATATGGAGAGCTCAAGTTCGTAAGTATGGTTTACTAAAGGAACTTTGAACAGTGCAGGTTTATGATAAGCAATCAACATGTGTTAGCTATTATTGTTTTTTAATATGTTTGGCTAGATTTTTTTAATACTTATTTCTTGTTACAACTTTCTTTTTAAAAGTAGGCTCCACCCCCAGCATGGAGCCCAACTCTGCGCTTGAGCTCACAACCCTGAGTCAAGATTTGGATACTTAGGGCGCCTGGGTGGCTCAGTTGGTTGAGCAACTGCCTTCGGCTCAGGTCATGGTCCCAGGGTCCTAGGATCAAGTCCCACGTAGGCTCCCCCTGGTCTGCGGGGAGCCTGCTTCTCCCTCTGCCTGCCACTCCCCCTGCTTGTGCTCTGTCTGTCAGATAAATAAATAAAATCTTAAAAAAAAAATCCATTAAAAAAAAAAGTTGGATAATTAACCAACTGAGCCACCCAGGCACCCCTAGCTTTTTTTTTTTATATATAGATTTTTTTTTTTTCTTTTTAAAGTAATCTCCACAACCAAAGTGGGGCTCGTGCTCACATCCCCAAGGTAAAGAGTTGCGTGCTGTACTGACTGAGCCAGCCAGGAGCCCCTCTTTTTATAGCTTTTATATGTGTGTGTATAATTTTTTTTTTTTGGCTCCCAAAGTTTAATCAAGAACTCATACAAAATATTTCAGATAAATGCGTTTTAATCTTCCTCTTCATCCTGGTTAATCTGGAAGGAACACAATTCACAACTCTCTTTGCAGTTGGCAACTACACGTAGATTATTATTCTTCACATATTTTGGGGGGAGATATTTCAAATATCTTTTGGAAAAAGGCACGTCGGAAGTTATAGTAATCTTGCTCTTGCACCTTTCAGTGCTTACAACCCCTCCACCAAGATTCCCAGCTTTGCCATTCACTTTGATTCTCTCTTGAAGAAACTGTTCAAAAATGGCAGCATCCATGATTCCATCTTCCACTGGGTGGGGGCAGTCAAGGTAAACTCCAGCAGGGGCAGAAAGGGCATCATGTTTTTTTAAACCCTAAAATGCCCCAGGAGGTTTCTTTTTACTTAGATGATGCTTCAGTTATTATTTTTGTTAGCAGTGTATGAAGATAAGATTGTAGGACGCTGGATTCTCTGTTAGGTTTAATCCTGCTTTACTTGCTTGTTCAGTTTTATTTTTACTTTTTTTTTGTATTTGAACCAAACCCCTGCAAAAATGATGTTTAACACCAAGATATTTCATCTTCAAGCGTCATTCTGGTTAGAGGCCTAGATAAAAATCACACTCAAGGAGAGATGTCAGTGTAACTTACTAGCAGCCGGCAAGCCCCAAGAGCAGAAGGAAGCTCTCTTGCAGAGGAAGAAGTCTTGACTGCTGTCTCTGTCTTTGTGACTTTCAGAGAGGTGTTGGCATCAAAAGCACTCCTGTGACGGTGGTCTTGCCAGATACCAAAGGAAAATCTTACCTTTTCAATATCATGGACACTCCAGGTAGGACATTCCTTTTACTATCAGAACCTTACCCGCTTTGTTTTTTGTGCTCTCACGCTTCCAGAACAGAACAGAACACTTCATCTTTGTGTTTACATTCCCTTCACTTCCCCTCTCATTGAGATAATTTCCATTTTCCACGGTCTCCTTTGCTTCTGACTAGTTAATCAGCAGGCATTGTGCGCCAGGTTTTCTGTTTCACTCCTCTCTTTGCTCTAAAATATTTAAATACTGGGGAATCTCATTCATTGACTCATTCCAGCCTGTGTCAGGCCCCATGCTAGGAGCTTGGTAACAAGGGTGAGTCAGACAAGGCCCTGGTCTCAGGCGCTCTCAGTCCTTTGAAGGAGGCCAGGGGGTCAACACACAAACAAGTCACCGTAGGAGCAGCGTACCTTGCCCTGTGGCTGACTCTGTCTTCATCTTACGGAAAGGACCAACTCAGGGCAGAGTTTTAAATAGAAACATTGGAGTTTTGACAAATTGACCTTCTCAGCCTCAGGTGCCCAGCGCCCTGATACCTCTTAACCCCCTCCACCACCAGCAGCACCTTGCCAGGAATTGTCTCCTGTGCCCCAGGCCCTTCTTGCCCTTTCTCCTGCCTCTGAATTGTCCTTTGCCCTCGCAGAACTCTGCTGACTGCTGTTGAGGCCAAGCTGGTGTATGAATGTCAATATGTTACACCCTCCTAGGGCATACAGAACACTTCGTTCTTTTTATGTTTGGGGACCTGCTGTATGAAAGTTTAATCCAAGCATGTGACTCTAACTGGTGGGATTTTATACACGGCGGGGAGCTGTGGGAAGAAGGGAAAGGGCATATTTGGGGGTTCACATGGTTTTCAGTGTTCCCTCAGACCACCTACAAGTTAATTGTGCCTCATCCTGGCACCACGCAGGTAGTGACTTACTTGGTATTTGTCTTACAGGACATGTGAATTTTTCTGATGAGGTCACGGCTGGCTTGCGCATCTCAGATGGAGTTGTCCTTTTTATCGATGCTGCTGAAGGCGTGAGTCTGCCTCTACTCCCTTATGACCCCTCCTCCCTGTTACGTTTGCCCCACACGATTAAATGTCTGTGGGATTCAGGCTCACAATTTGCTTTGAAATTAAGGCAGCATATGAAGTTCAGAATTAGTTCTCAGGGGGAGCCTGGGTAGCTTAGTCGTTAAGCATCTGCCTTCGGCTCAGGTCATGATCCCAGGGTCCTGGGATTGAGCCCCGCATCGGGCTCCCTGTTCAGTGGGAAGCCTGCTTCTCCCTCTCCCACTCCCCCTGCTTGTGTTCCCTCTCTTGCTGGGTCTCTCTCTGTCAAATAAATAAATAAAATCTGTTTAAAAAAAAAGACAAAATTAGTTCTCAGTACGAGTCCCTCACTCCCTGCTCAGTGAGGCTCAAAATGATAGGACCCAAAATAAAATGACTAATGTAATTAAAAAGAGAAGGAGAGTATATTCGTGTAAATGGATTTTAAATATCGATGCGTTTTTCTAAACTAGAGAGATTAGAGTTAAAAGACCCAAGGTGTCTTACATATTTCTAAACTGAAAGATGAGGTAATTTGGCTAACTTTATTCATGTGGTCATTGATGAGATAGCCAGCAGAGGGAGCCAGAGTTGCTCCCTCCCCTCTCCCCCATTTGACTTCATTTTGGAATAATTTCAAATTTATTGAAAAGTTGCAAGAACAGTACAGGAGTACACTCTCATTTGCTTTGTAATTCTTTTTCTGTACATGTACTCATGCATATGTGAGTGTGTGCATATTTTCCCTTGAATTGTTTGAAAGTAAAATATTTCAACGTTATCTCGGAACAAGGGCATTTTACTTACATGACCAAAATACAGTTACCAAAATCAGGGAATTTAACACTGATACAATATGCTGTATAGATCTTTTTCTCTAGACCTTACTGAATGTCACTAACTATCCCAGTAGTGTCCTTTATAGAATTTTTTTTTCCCTGGGGCACCAGGGTGGCTCATTCAGTTAAGTGTCTGCCTTCAGCTCAGGTCATGATCCCAGGGTTCTGGGATCGAGCCCCGCGTTGGGCTCTCTGCTCCACGGGGAGCCTGCTTCTCCCTCTCCTTCTGCTACTCCCCCTGCTTGGGCTTATACTCTCTCTCTGTCAAATTAATAGATAAAATCTTAAAAAAAAAATTTTTTTTTTTCCTGATCAAGGATGCTGCCTAGCATTCAGTCCTCATGTCTACCTTAGTCTCTTAATTTGAACTGTTTGATAGCTTTTCTTGGTCCTTTATGACGGCATTTTTGAAGAGCATAAGCTGTATTTGTTTTGTAGAATGTCTCCATTTGGTTTGTTGAATGTTTGCTCACGGTTATGTTCAGGTTATTTTTGTCAGGAATGCTGCATGAACGTAGTTGTGTTCTTAGTCCATCACATCAGGAGGCCCTGCGTGTCACCTTATCCCATTACTGGTGATACTAACTTTCGTTGCTTGGTTAAGGTGGGTTTGCCAGGTTTCCCCAGTGTAAAGTTACTATTTTCCCTTAGTAACAATTTGTGGAGATACACCTTGAGTCTATATATACATTATACTTCTTTGCAAACTTTGCATGCTGGTTTTATCTTCTGTTACTTTTTTTTTAAGATTTATTTATTCATTTGAGAGAGAAAGAGTGAGTGCAAGTTGGGGGAAGGGCAGAGGGAGCGAATCTCAAGCAGATTCCCCACTGAGTTCAGAGGCCGATGCTAGGCCCAGTCCCATGACTCATGAATTCACAACCTAAGCCGAAACCAAGAGTCGGATGCTTAACTGACGGAGCCACCCAGGCGCCCCCCATTTTTTAAATCTCTGCACCCAACATGGGGCTCAAACTCATGACCCCAAGACCAAGAATCGCACACTCCACCAACTGAGCCAGCCTGGCACCCCAAGTTTTATCCTCCATTGAGCATTCCTAGTTTATTTCCGTAGTAGTTGCAAATGGTGATTTTCTAACTTTTATTATTCCTTCTATATTTTTTGGTTGGAATTCTGTTGTGAGGAAGGACTTCCTCTTCTCCCTCATTGCTTACTTCTTGTCACATGTGTGGATACATGGATTTTTATTTCATTCAGTGAGTTATAATCCATCGCTATCCTTACATATCTTGATCCTCTAGCTATCCCAGATTCGGTTAGATAGAGCTCCTTCAGGTTGGCTTCTTTGTCCTTTTGACATGTCCCATCCTTTTTTAAGTACTTCCTTATTCTTCAGCACCCAATGTTTTAGACTCATTTTGTGCTTTCTCTGCCCCAGTCCTGGAATCAGCCATTTCTTCAAGGAGTTCTGGATCCTTGTAATGGGGACTGGTATTTAGAAACAAAGGTCAGGGTGTGTCCACTGCTTTGGGGTCCATTACTTCTAGACCCTTTCACTGAACACAGTGCATCCCCGCACACATCCATCACAATTTCTACACATGTATATGACATGTGATTAACAATAAAAAAAGAAGAAATCATGTGTCCATCCTAATACCCACACTTCCATCCAGCACCACAGGTGCTTCCTGAGCCTGCCTCCGCCCCTTTTCCAGCACTGGGAGACCTGGCTCCCAGCATCATCCGTGTGTTTATCAGTGTCTCAGTCCTGCCAGGTGCCCTCTTCAAGGTCCTGAATCAGCCTTTAGCCAAGATACCCTCTGCTTCCACCCAACAATCTATTTCCCCAGGTCCTCTTTTCCTCATACTTCGTATTTTCAGATAGTACCCTCTTTGGCTCTGCTGTGGACTTTACTGCCCTTTGCTCTTCTCACCACCTTCTGGGCCTTGTGTGTCAGGTGATGCTGAACACCGAGCGACTGATCAAGCACGCAGTGCAGGAGAGGCTGGCGGTCACCGTGTGCATCAACAAGATTGACCGGCTGATCCTGGAGCTCAAGCTGCCTCCCACCGACGCTTATTACAAGCTACGGCACATCGTAGATGAGGTCAATGGGCTCATAAGGTATAGGATGCTGGGCGTGGATTTCCTGTCCTCAGGAACTCTGTGTTTTATAAATCTTAACCTTGAACACCGTTGGGAGGCAACTCGGATTTCTTGGGGTGCATAATGAGCTTTTTGGACCAGACGAGGGGCACATTCCAGGGCCCTACAGGGTTTTACTCCACAGCCTTGGCCTCATCGACCCCGGGCCTTAACCAGCTGTGCAGCTTAAGACGTATCTTCACTTCTGCGTCGTGCTTAGTACCTGGGATACCAAGTGTGTGAACCTGGGCAAGTGACTTACCCTCCTAGAACCTCAGCTTCCATCTCTATGAAAGGGGAATAATAATGTTTGCCTAATGGGATGTTATAAGAAATTAGATAGATATTTGATGCTACACACTTAGCACTCTGCTTAGCATACAGTACCTGCTCAGTGAATCATGTTAGTTGCTGTTACCTTCTAATGCAGACTCAGTAAATGAAGGAACTGTTGGCTGTTGTTTCTGTGGACGTAGTTGCTTTTCAGCAAGATGCATCTTGGGCTTATATTAGTATGAGTGATGGCTGGGAGACCTTAGAACACAGTATCAAGGTGACTTGGAAGAATAGGTTAAGTATATCCTAACCACGGTCTTATCTGCAGGCTGACAGATGGACTGGATGACTTCTTGAGACCCCTCAAAGGGCCCAGGACAAGGCTGTCCTTTTGAGAGAACACCTCTCCAGTTAAGGATAGTATCCCCGTGGCCAGAGACAGATTTACGTTCAGGAGCCTCCTCGGTGTGTGGCCCTAATTCTCAACAGCCTAGAAGGGCTGAGAATGACTGGAGACTGACATAACATCAGGAGCCCCCAAAATGAAATGTTAGACTTCTTTATGTATCCCCTTTAAAGTGGGGGGTGCACCAATGTTTATAGCAGCAATGTCCACAATAGCCAAACTGTGGAAAGAGCCAAGATGTCCATCGACAGATGAATGGATAAAGAAGATGTGGTATATATACACAATGGAATATTATGCAGCCATCAAAAGGAATGAGATCTTGCCATTTGCAACGACGTGGATGGAACTGGAGGGTGTTATGCTGAGTGAAATAAGTCAATCAGAGAAAGACATGTATCATATGACCTCACTGATA